TTCAGCGCCACGCAACGACCGGTTGGAGGGGACCAGACGCGGCAGCTGTTTGCTCGCCATGGAACGGATCAGGGGGTCGCGTTGGCATGTGTACCCGTCAGTAAAGCCACATCGGTGGCGCTCACAACTCACGAGAACGCTGCAGCAGAGAGAATCATAATACGTTTGAGTGACTCTGAGTTGAATTTTCGTGCGTGAAGAAAAAACGGACCAGCGTCTAGAAAAAATTGCATCTTCGCAGAGAAAGCGCTGTAACGTCGATCTGTGAAGTGATCGTCACGCTGAAGAAAGTTATTCGTCTTATCAACGCCTCTCCGCACGCCGGCAGACTCCGGCATGTAACAGCATAACGGTTGGAAAAAAGTGCGCGCGCAAGCAACGACTTTTCGGCCCGTCGGTAAATCTCAGAAAATTGATTCGGGGCCCCACACACGTGTCTGACGTTTGAGTTGAATCTTGTATGTATAAGAAAAGTTGAGTGATATTATGAATAGTGAGGATTAACAGCAAGCGATGCAAAGTGATCTGGAATTTCCACGCAATATTGACCGATCGATATCGATAGAAAAAAAATTTGAAAAGACATCGCATCGACGTTGTAACATTCAAGTGATGGATCTTTATTCGGAATGCCGTGACGGTCTTTGGATAAAGATCTCAGGAGAGACGTCAAAGGCGTCCGAGAAACGACGCTATTTTCATCTTCAAGTGCGGGGATACGACGAGAGCCGATGTCGCGCTTAGAAACGGTCCAGCCGGACGGAATTCGCTCTGTGATAGCCAGGTAGTCCGCATACCAGCGCGTCTCCATGCGGCAAATGTCCTTCTCGGATAGCATCGACGAGAAAGAGAGATTCTAGCCGGGACTTTAATCCCGATCGACTTGCCGCTGTAGTATTCGATGGGCGAACGGTGAATGGACTCACGTACGCGTCCTTGCAAGATTGGCTTGCATGAAGGCATTGCATAACCATAAACGACACGGTACGTTGTCGCGCGTGCGACGTACGTTCGCGCGAATCTCAGGAATTTCGCGACGATTATTGCTCAAGATTTCGCTCGGGATGGCAGGCGTGGATTACAACACCGCGTCTGCTACATTATTCTACGTAACGCTTTATATGGAATGTTTCGCAGACGGGACTGTAAAAAGCGTGTTCTTAACACTTGAAATATATCTCTGAGAACATTAATAAGAGAAATCTTCTTATGAAAAAAATTTTCTTGTCGTTATTAAATCCGATTGAGTTCAAATATGGAATAAAACATTGTGACAGCCTAATTTCACAAAGATATCTCGTGACGCAAATATGTCATAAAAAAGTCCGATGACTCCTCCGCTGGAGAGGAAGTTAGATTGTCGTTTATCGCGAAAAGGACTGATAGCGAAGACAACGCTCGGTAAATACGCGTTCGTAACGAAGTTGAAAAATGAGTTAAGAGTTAGTCGCGAGTCGTTTCGCTTTTAGGGAGAGCCTGGGTTTGACACTCTTCGTAAAGAGATCAATTCATTGTGATAACAATCGCGCGAGTTATGCGGAAGTACAGGAGACGATGAATAGGACAGGGAAAAAAAGAAGAGAGAGAGAGAGGTATTGTCAGGATGATTAATGCGACGGTCGTTGAGGGAGGAAATGTCCAATAGAGCTGCGAGTCTTTCCGTCCTTCTTTTATCCCACGTGTTTTTTTTTCCAGTTGCTCGTACACGCTCCTTCCATTTGGATTTCGAACGTCGATTATCAGAGAATGAAGGAATACGGCTCCTCTAAATCAAAGAACTTTAACAATTCACTCGGTTGCAAACTATAATTACCGTATTATCATCCCGCCGACCAGTAATTCCCTCGTTAATATCTAATGAGCTCCAATCTGTATCACAAGCAGCCACTTTTGCCCCTTCCAATCGATATGAGCACGCTTGAACGTCCACGCTTTCGCGAGAAACAGACTGGCACAGGTCGCGAAAGATATTTTAGTCGATCATCATTCCGCGCGTGTAATATATCATCAATGAGTTTTCAGTTCCCGCGAAAGCCTGTGCATATTTCTGTGAGAATCTCAAAGTAAACAGTCCGTATTGCAGCTGCGCTTCGATATGAGCGTCGTCAAAATAGAATATATCATTCATCCCCGTTTTTCGGTGCAGAATATTGATGTCTTGTTCAAATATATGAGGAGACGGGCGGGAAACTCGCGCTTAACTCTTGACGCGCGTACCGCCGTCGCGAATAATCGTCTTACTGTGCACGTCGATGCTGGTTAAACCGCGACAGCGATCTTGTCATTGATCTTGGAGTACTTTGCTGTCATCAAGATCTTAACGACTAACGGACGGCGGCAATAAATTTGATTGGGCTGGCAAATTGTCGACCGCTCCGAGGAGGAAGAGGCGGCGTTCGGTCCACTTCTTCGTAATGGCCAATTGTCGCGCAACGGAATTGTCCGAGTGTGAGTGCGTGTCCTGAGTAAACAATAAAATCATTTTGGAGGCGGCACTCGACACTACGTTCGCGTCATCCTTTCGTCGCGACACTTGCGCTAATTCTCTTTCATCCGCTTTTCCGCTCTTCTGCCTCTCCAACGTTTCATGTAAATATTTAACGATGCCGTCGTCCTGATGGACATGTTGGCGGAATATTCTGGCCCGCCAGAACGAAAATTCAACAAATCGGATAAGTACTAATCACGTTAAGAAAGTCAACATTTTCGAAATTTCGAAATAGTCTGTGAAGCGTAACGTATACAATTCTCGTCATGCTATCCAAAAGGGAAATGTGCCGCTAAAATCAGGACCGCCGGAAGCAAATGAATAACCTCGTCTATAATTTTTTTCAGCTTTATTAAGCCAAAGAATCGTTTTACGGATTGACGAAGAGTCGCAAACTTGGAAGCTTTACCCCACCAAAGAGAAGCAGAGTGACGTACCTTATTGCTGACAACGATAAAACATTGCCATTGATAAATTAGGAAACGAGCAATATCGCGAAGATCGATGTCACCGTATCGAAAGTATTCGAGGACATCTCTCGGAAGGATGAGAGAATCTCGATAGAGGATCGAGGCATATTAAACGAAAATCATCTAGAGCCATCTCCAGATGAAATTCCGCAAATCCTCCTCATCCAGCCCGAGGATGGAATTACTCTCGCGACGTACCTCGGGCGGCAGGATGTCGACCTTGAAAAGGTCGAGATCCTTCCGGGCGTCCGTGAAACTGATGTCTAAAATACGCGATCACGCGAACATACGAATGACCGCCGGCTTCGATCCTTCGTCCGTCTCGAAGGATCGTGATCCCGATGCCCTTAAAGGACGTAATCTTGATGTCCTTAAAGAATCGCAGGACGGTGAGAGGTCCTCGAGCCCGTGGAAAAGTTCGGAGAACACAAGTTCTCGTATCGGAGACAAAACTGATGACGAGGTATCCTCGAGTCCTCGAAGGGTTTCAGTGTTAGCAAACGACACCGATTCACGAGAAATCACGAGAGATCTGAAGAGCAAATTGTCGCTGACCGACAGAATAATGGGTAAGGGTCGCAAAGACGTGGAGAGACCCTCGACGAAGAACGAGGACGTGAAGTCACCGAAGGTTATTCGCATTTTTCGCAAGAAACACAGCGCGGAGAACTCGCAGGAGGACACTCGTGGGAAGGACTGTGGCGACAAACGCATGTCCTGTGAGACATACGCGCATCAGCCGAACAAACATGTATCGTACGAAAACCCTACGTTCGTACTGGACAGTTCCTTGGATTCTTCCATCTCGAGTTTTCTCTTTGAAGCTGAAGAGGAAGAAAATAAAGAAAAAGAACGACAGGATTGCAAAACAAACGTGCAGCGTCCTGTGAGCGCGATGTTCTGACTATCGTCGTGGATTCCAATAAAGCCGCGACTAACTTCTACAGGAAAGTGAATTACGACCGAGACAAAAACGAAGACGAAAAATGTCTCGAGAACGAGGATTTGCGGAGCACGTTTCGTCCCAGATGCGAGACGGATCCTTTAAGACATCTTTGCGAAAAGTCGAGCAAAAATTCGCAAATAAACGCGATAAATGGTAGCCGAAGAATTGCTGAATCCTTCGGCGCATTTGACCACATGAGAATTAAATGTTCCTATCATATGGAGAAAATAAGTGCAACGAGTTCCCAGGACCAGAAATTCCTCGACGATGTCAAGATCTGTACTTCCAAGTCCTGCAAAATCAGGACGGTTGATAATATCGCGAACTTTTGGGCGAGCAAGCGCGGTAATAGTTTTCGAAGTAAAATGGCAACCGGCAGAAAGAGAGACGCGAAGGAAACGAAGGATTACGAGCGGATCGGTCAAGAGCGAGTTCTCGTGTCGACGTCATCGAGATCAAGTACGCCGGATCAATAAGTTTCTAATTAGCCAGCGGCGCACCAGACGTAATTAAACAGTTTCTAGGAAGTTGGCTTGAATTTTCGCGGCAAGTTAGCGATTTAGCTCCTCCTCTCTTACGGAATCGGCGTTGCGCGAAAAAAGGATCTAGATTTGATAAAGCGGCGCGCTTAACTTTTACCGGGGCATTTTCACGCCAAATAAATTAATAATTATCGTGGAAAGTTTATAAAAGGAAAGTGTTAACCGTGAAATGAAACGGCGAACACGGGAGGAATTAACATTGAAGAACATCACTGGCACGTGGGAAAATTTCTAATCGTGAAAGTGGCTCGAGTAAAATGCACGAGCCAATTGTAACTGTTGTACAAGTTATTCCGAGAAAGAAATAATGCGAAGTCTTATTTTTCAAATCTTAGCTTTTCCCTCGGCAAACTTCATTTTCTCGTTTTATATCCGAAGGAGTCGCGCATCTAATTGAACCGCGAGGATTTGCCTTTCTCGCGAGATATACTTTTTTCTTGATTGTCTTTAAATTTTTATATCTCACATTTATTTGCCTTTTCATCGCAATATTTATTCGCTTCATTTATTCATTGTTTATTTATTTTGCTTCTCATTTCTTTTATCTCGCACAGAATTACACTCGTTGCAAGGGATGGAGTTCCTGGAAGGTTTCGGCAAGAAAAAACAGCAGCCGCAACAGCTGAATAATCTGTCGTCGATACATATCAATCCCTTATCGGCCCAATCCCTCAACATACATCTGCATGGTACTTTAATTTTTTTCGTTTTATTTTTTCAAGCGCTCCTCTGTTTCTACGCATTTCTGCCACAGCAAATTATGCTGCGAATACAATGAGGATTAATTTCGATGTCGTTGTATTTTTAGCTCTATTTGCGGCTGTGGAACACGGTCACCTGGATAAAACGAGAACTATTTTGGAGTCCACCGATGTGAACATAAATAGGTGAGTGGTTATTTATATCGTCGGCTATACATGTATGCACACTGTTAAGGAGCGATTAAGGATGATTGATTTATCGTTCAGAAAACTGAAGAGACTAATAAATTGGCACGCGATTCCACGCGACAGCTAAATATTTATATCATTAGATAGGTTTCTAGATGCATCACTGAAGTCGCGTAAAAATGGATTAAATATTTATTCTTTATATTCGCGAGTTGTAGGGATCTATAAAAGATCGGATCCTGTTTGCCTTCGAAAGAGCTCACGTACGACCTAGAAGTCGCTCTGCCGACACACACGTTACTTCGAAAGAGCTTTAATCGAATATACGACCTGAAAGTTTCGAAGCGCACCTCTACAGGAACAGTCAATCGCGCCATTAGGAATTGTTCGACCAGCGCAGAACTAACATCTTGATTCGATCCGACGTGAATCTTGGTGCCCCCAAAGATCTGGGTCACCCTACATCTTAAGTGTAGACTGCGCGATACGAAAAATAATCGCCCGAACTTCGTGTCCTCGTGATCCAAAAAGGATTCAGAAGAAAGATAAAGAATTAAAGCTAGGACGAATAAGATAGTTTCTTCTTGCTCAATTTTTCACGTGTGTAATCACTTTTATAGCGAGCTATTAATAATGTGTACAGCAGATTAGTTTGGCTTTTATTTTAAGCACATTAAAATCGGTGTACGCGCAATAATTACGTAAATTACCTAAATTTATAACTCGATATCTTTAACATTAACCATTATTTTAATTTTTTCAATGATTTTAGGTGAATTTTATATTTGACTTCTTTGTTTAGTTTCTATATTGGCTGACCTTTGCTAACATTCACAGTTTTATTCATTTTAATTAACAATGATGGTAACAGTCTCAGTTTCACTTCGTTAGAAAACGACCACGTTCTTTTATTTTTGCGTCGCATTTAATGTTACGGATACCGAATTATAAATTTAGGTAATTTCGATCACCGATGATGGTCGAAACGTCTATATATTCAATTAATAATTTGGAATATTGAGCGTTTCCTAGCTCTGGCTTTTATTAGCTTTTTAAGTTTTTGAATTAAGCAAAAATATGTTACGAATTTCACTAGAACAAATAGCAAAAGATCTCTTAAATCGAAACGCGTGTTGTTGCGCTTTAATACGTCTGGGTGAAGCTTTTAATAGCCAGTCGCGCGTGATAATTACGAAAAAATAGTCGTTCGTTTCTACTTCCGACGAGCAATCACCGCCGATTTGTGTCGCCGGGGGATGTAGTATATATAGTGTAGCTTTTTGGTGCCTTCCGGCGACTACAACAAAGCGTGAGCTGTCCATAAATGAATTATTCAGACACTGAACAATGTCCCCGTGTCAATTAACGTGACCGTGGTGTTAACACATAAGCAAACGAATTTAGTTAAAAAGATTTATTATTAATTGCACTCAAAGTCCGTGTAGAAATTTAAATTTTGATGCTAATAAATATATATATAAAGATTAATATAATTATTGATAAAATTGGATACATGTTATTATCAATCTCGTGCTCAATTATGTAAATATAATATTTTTATACAGTTTTATATAAACGTGGCCCGTTAAAATTGAACGTAATTAAAAGAATACTAATTTTAAAATGTCCGGTACTGTCATGTTAGAATAACATTAAAAATAAAGTTCCACGCTGACAGTCAAAAGGTGAACTATTTTTTATAATATGACAAGTGGCTCGTGGAAATTTTTTTACCATATGCACAACACATTCTATCCAACAATATTTTTTTATATATGTATATGTAATTGGAAGTTGTAACTTTTTCTGCATAACTGCATATTTAATTATGCATATTTATTTTATTTTGTTTCATTATGTTTATTTTATTACGTTTTGTTTTATTATTAAAAATATAATAGAAAAATTTTTGTAGAATTAAAATAATCAATGGGCAATAAAAAAAAAGTTGCAAGTTCCGCTAGTTGCAATAACACGATGGAAATTCTTGTCGCAAACGAGAAATCGATAGTGGCGTGTAACTGGAAAAACTCATTTAGCTAGCATTTATTCTGACTATTTTATATCGTTAACATTTATTTGACGTCCTCTTTTACGCATCGAAGTCCGAGGCAAAGTAGGGAAAAGTAATTAAATGTTTTAGAGTGAACCTCATTAATTCCTCGATTTTCCGCTTGAGCAAGATGCAATTTTTTCATTCTAACGAAAAAAACCGAAGTGGCGAGAAGAGTTGTAAAGTAAAACACACAGGGTAGAAGATACAAACGAGATGCCATGGCATCGTTTCATAATTCAGAAAGGTAGCCGACATTCACGTATGTTTTATCGACCTCCTGATACCACATAAACGCTACTCAAAGTTTCACGAAGCTTTTTTATTCTACGGAAATCTCGCCTTAACGTGATATAAAATAGGAACCTGAGGGCCATTTTTCGATTTTATTTTAACGCCAGCTTTTCCCTGAACAAAACGCTACAAAACGTGAAATAAAGTTTACACATTTAATATTGCGCGTGTAAAGTTATGAAATAACTGTGCTTTGGTTACGTTATAATGTAAAACTGAGACCGGTAGAAAACCGTAAAATACTTCGCTATAAACTAAATGCTAACTCAGTTGATTTATTTCAGTAAATTGTAGGTAACTCTGCTAACGCATTACTATTATATACTGCTAACCATTTTCTATTTCATCACTTACAGCGTCAACAGCGACGGCTTGTCACCGCTGGACGTTGCTGTGCTTAGCAACAACAGGCCGCTAGCAAAAATGCTGGTTGCGTTCGGCGCGCAGGAAGGGAACCAATGTAAGTACAATCGAATTCAATTACAAACTTTTCACGTGGCGCGGACTTCGTTACGAACGACGCTTGTGACGAATCCGGTGGATTCGAAGCGTCGCAAAATTCGCTTTTCCGCGGGACCGATCTCCCGTCTCTCTCTTTGCCGCACGAAAAAAATCCAAGAAAATCGGTCCGCGGGAGATTCCAATTAGGATTCCGTGGCCTCTAATAAAAATACCGCCGAGCTTTATTGCATTGCAACGACGAATAAAAGACAGATAAAAATAAAGTTGAAACGAGGTGTGCAAAAAAAATTGGGAACTTTTCGCTGATCACTCGGCTGGGGCGCGGTGCTTTTTCCGCAACGTTTTTAATAATGTCCCTCTTTGTCAGATATGTACATATCGAACTCAAGCGTAATTACGATCGAGTGCCGAAGCGTATATGCGACGTGAAATTGTGAAACCTCTCTGTACCAGTATCTAAACATTTCTCTCTGTTTCTCTCTTCCTCAATGCCCTCTTGTACTCTATTAAGCCGGTTGTGTGAACCGCACGAGCTGTAAATATGAATAAAAAGCACACTTTCATCAGATATTCCGTGCGTATAAAAGACTTGCATGATGAATCCCGGAGCTTTTCTATCAGTTTTCGATCGCTGTATATAATAAGTCTACACAAATGCATTACCATCGCGAAGCATTGTTGAATTTGCATGCTAGAATGCAAATTTGCGAATATATGCCACAGATTATTACGTCGCAAGTTTCTTACTTGATTCTTGAAGTTTCTTCAAGAAGGAAAGATAAAAGTTCGGGAAAATAAATTTTTCTTAATGTGCCATCAAGCGAAACGGAAAATCCCATGTTATTAAGTCAGCAACTTGAGCTTCATTCATCTTTGCAAAAGTTCCTTGCGTCTTAATTTGTCCCGTTACGCTTGTTAGCGTTCCACTTAGGACGACATCGTTAGGATACCAAATCCTTTTCAGAGATGAAATATGGAGCCGAAAGAAAGAGCCTTCTCCTTTCAGCTAATTTCAAAGAGATCTGCGACGAATTCATGTAAATATTGAGAAATAATAACTCAAGATTCAACTTGATCAACATATAAATGTTTGCTATTTGAAAATTTAATAAATGTATTTTTTAATTGTCTAATTTTTGGTACATTTTCTCCGCACAACCTGTTTTACGCTGAGAAGTAATTGCAATCAAGTCTTCCAATTAATCACGACAAAACCGTACAGTCTCGCAAAGAGATCGTGTACAAGATATCAACAATGTTGCAGCAAACTATTGCATACAACGGCAAATACGCTAATTAGCGCAATAATTGCGCGTAGAACAATATGTTAGTGGTGAGATAACCATCGTTCACAAATGTAACTGTCTCAGTTCGAATATCTATAATCAAGATCTGTACATGCAAGGCTCGCTTTGAACATACGCGAAAGATCAAATAGTTAAAAATTACTTGCAACAAATTTAAATTAAAAACCGTAAATGTAAAAAAATAACTTTAAGAGAGTTCTTTGAATATTACTTGAAAAGAGAAATAATTTAATCAAAAGGACATATAATTATGCATATAAAAATAAAAGAAGAAATTAATTTAAAAGGCTCTCAAAGATTCGTTTTATTTGTTAACACAGTCAAGTCTCCAGAATTTCTGGGAAGCCACTTGGCATCGTTGCTGTCAGAAGCGGAGCACAGAGTTCAAGAACTCGGCGGTAGTACTTCCGGCAGCGGTGGAACCACTTTGTTGGAACCGGCGAGCAGTCATAGGGCCAGTTTTTCCACGCAACATAACAACCTTACAGCATGCGGCGGTAGCACGGAAGACAAGCAGCTCGCTTTATGGGAGAGAAGAGCCAGGGCTCTCAGAAAAATGTTACTAGGCTTCGATCAAGCGCGTGAGTTTAATAAACCTAGTTTAAATTTTCAATTCGTTTATTTGCCTTCGTGAATTTACGCAATAAATACATTCGCGCATTAACAATCCACGACTTTATGTTTCAGGACCACCCGACATGCCTTTCCTGGTTGCGGTCGATGTTACCGGTACAACCTCGGTTGCAGTCAGGTTTCAAGAACCAGACTCGCACGACTCTCCAATTTGCACTAAGTTCAAAGTTCAGTGGAGTTTGCACGATGACTTTTCGGTCGTTTGTGGCGAGAGAGAGGTTCTAGACATGAAGCAGAGAGAATGTCGGATCGAGGGTTTAACGCAAGGGCAAAGATATCACTTCCGCGCCGCCTCCGGGAACTTGAAGGGATACAGCAGATTCAGAAACTCGACGCCCGCACATGTCACGCCCAGCAGTAAGTATCGCGAATCTGCGTTATACAAACATTACGTCTGTCGACGTGCCCAACCTAACGCTATTCGCTTTCAATTTTACAAATATTTATGATGATTCGTAGGTTGGAGGGACATAGACGGCAGAGTACCGAGATTCGCGGGGCGACTGGAACAATTAAACACTCTGTTCACTGATATAAAGCGACCGGAATATACGCAAGAAACACCAGCGGTGCAGAGGCGAAATCACAAGAAGAAAACAACGATAAAGCAGTTGTTTACGGTGACAAGTAAATTTCAGAAGAACCTCAGGCGAGGTGTGTTTCTCGCGTGTTTGCTGTACCACGAAGATAAGGTTCTCGTTACGAACGAGGACTTTCTGCCGGTGATCGAAGTCGACGAAACGTACCCCAGTTGTATTTACAACGATTTTCATTGGCTGATGAAAGTCGCTTTTACCTGGGACGATGTTAAGTCCCTCCGACAGGATATGGAAAAGAGTCACAGCAGTTCGACTAACCACTTTAGGATAAAAATGCTTCAAGCCGCTGCTCAAATGCAGGTATGTGAATACTTCTTGTGATGTTCAAAATAGAGATTTCTATTCGGCCAAGCTACACAGTAATTCATTATTGATCAATGTGTATAATCTGTAAAGGTAATTTTACGCGACAAAGTAAGTCGGAAAAATAAAATTTGAATTTGAAAAATATTTTAAAAGATAGAAAATGAAAATAATGTCTTACACTTATTTATAAGATCTTCAACAGTCTGAATATCACGTCAAATTTATTTCTATAGACCGAATAATTTAATAAGTTGCTTTATTAAATATTGTACTTATTTATTTATGAGTTAATATAATTGTTACGAAAATGATAAAAGATTGTTTAGAATCTAAATTTAAAACGCACAAAGGTTTTAATCTTCTGTTTGAAGTTATTTTCATCAAAAACAAGATTTTGCATCAAAATTTTTTTTATGTTTTTAATTTTTTTACGTAGAATTACCTTTTTGCCAGTATCATAGTAACGAATCACTTTGTCACATTCGACTAAAACTCCTACAATATTCTTATTCGCACTACGTATTTTACAGGCTGCACTGTGCATACAGGATCTTGGACAGATGTATCACAAGCCCATCAGAGATATACAAGGCACTTTAGTGTTCTCTTCGGTAAATTATGTAAAGTCACCGAAACTGGTTTCTGTACTGAACAGCAGGTGGCTGCCACTCAGTAAGGTCACAAAGAAAATCATAACACACGATGACAGCAATGTCGCCGATATCCTGATGGCCAGCATACAAGAGCAAATAACATATCACCAAGTCAGTAGCATCAAACTGTCCAAAGGCTTATATCTCGGTTATCTGAAGATGCAAAGCAGCGTGGATCTTATACAAGTCGTCGTCCCAGCGAAATCCCCGAACGTATTGCCGCACTGCAAGATTCGCGACAATCCGCACGTATCCGCGTAAGTAATACGCTCGTTGAAAGGCGGATATCGCAATTATTTATCGCACTACTTCATACTTTCATTTTTATCTGTTCAGGGAGGAATGGGACTATCTCAAGAGAGTAACGCGCATCTGCACATCCGAGTCATCCGTGGAGTCCGAAGAAAAGGAGAATGTAACGAACGAAGCGCAAGGTACAGAACAGCAGAAATTGTTCGTCGATCTGGTCGCCGCGACGGCGCGACGGTTGTTCAATTATATGGAGATCAGTCCGGAGGATTCGCTGGCGCAGCGATTGTACGATGCCGAGGTTATCGATCTCACGCACGACGTGTCGTTCCTGGTCGCCGTACCGCCCGCGGAAACCGCTTGTTGCGTGCCCGGCACGCGAGAGATTCTACTGCAGCGCGGCGACCTCCTGTCGCTGCCCATCCCGGTCTTTGAAATGATACACCTAAACACGTATCAAAAGGACGTGAACAATCGTTACTCGAGACTCAGCTGCATTCTGGAACTGGACACGGCACAGGCCCAGCATAATCACAGAGAGGCCTTCAGCCCTATGGAATTGAGCGTCGCGAAGGATAAATTGGAGAGATTAAAAGATCTGCAGTTGCAAGTGAACACAGTGTGGAAGGGCGCCAGGTGGTGGTTTGACGTCATAACTTTCGCGAGGGATCGCGGCTTTTCCCAACAAAACGTAATTACACGACATTTTCATTCTATCTCAAATTTTGTCGCCAATTGTGCAGAAAGAACCCTAAACTTGATATAGAGACGATTTTCAATATACAATAATGTTCTCACAATTGTGACATTTTTTCGCAGGCCACATCGCAAACCGTCGGCATATCAATGAAGCATCTGCTCAGCCTGGACAGAAACAGGAATAATAACAGTAACAACAGCCTAAAACGAAGTTTGCTACAATTACCACCTAGAGATCCCAAGCTTGTGAAATCGAGCCCCGGCCGCGGCAGCTGGCCGGGTCCCAATCTGTCAAATTCGTCCTCGAATCTCCTCACGACGGAGTTCAGCAAAAGCGAACAGCAGCTACCTAGCGGCCAGTACATACGTAAAGGCAGCAACACCTCGAACGTGTCGACCGGCTCGGAGGCGCAGAAATCATTGTGCGCGCCGATGAGCAGCAGCAGCAATCTAAGCAATCTGACGACCACGAGCAGCGCGAATCACCTGCTGCCGCTGCAAAATACACGGTTACCACCCTCCAAGTCCGAGGACACCTTGATCCTCACCAAGTACAAATACAGCCCGCGAAATCGCTCCGCCACAATAACGTCCGCTTCGGCTAGCACGAGTCCGTTACTTAGCATAAAGCCCATCATGTACGGCGGCTCGCTGATAAGTGTGTCCACGCCAATGACGAACACTACGAGTCTACTCAGCGTGAGCAACACGAATTCCGACAGTTTGCACTCGTTGAGCAGCGACGAATACAGCACGCCAAATTCGAGCGTCTGCCTGAAACCGGGTCACTCAGTCAAGGTGAAAACGTCCAAACCGACCGCGAGCGTCGCGGCAATGGCCACCGTTCCGCAGGATAATCTGGACGAAGATAAGGACGAGGCGACGATGATGCCGGCACCTCTGCCAGGCATTCTTCAGGTGCGGTATTTAAATCCATGGTATTTCATATTATACAGACTTTATGCATACATGAACGTATTTGGCATACCAGATGCAACGTTTCGAGAAGTTTAATTTTCAGCAACATTAAAAACTCCCCACCCGGACCTCGCGACTGTCTTTAAATGATATTTTTCCTTCCTAGGGAACACAAGTCTAACCCGATTATAATTAAAAACAGCTCACTTGGTCTTCTAGTGCAAACTGATGTAGCGGACGCATTAAGTAAGCCGCCACGTCGTTAAATTTCAACGCTTGCTCTGCTCGGTTATGCTTAAATATTATGCTTAGTGTGCTCAAATGAGTACGGCATGAAACATTCAATATGGATGTTTTATACTTTATAATAGTTATTTTCGAATATAAACTATGTCTGTATGTAATGTGTTGTAACAGTATGATACCACATATTCCAAAAATATTGCATAAAAGTGCGTAAAATATATTATTAATAATATATATATATAATTTTTGGTGGCAGTATCGTGTTGTATATAACAATTGTTACAGCTTGAATATATCGCATTCTCTCAATGTGCATCTACACACAACGTGTGTCTACAAGATTAAAAAGCTAAGTGAATTATGAAAAGAAGAAAGTCTGAAAACAATATTTAATCAATTTTGGAGAAGCCGAATATTAATTTGTGTCTAATTTCTCTTTTCACTTAGTACCGAAGTCTTCCAGGCACACCATGTATATTATATATAGTTTATATCGTACACCCGCAAGAAAAGTGACACAAGTCAAGAAAACAAAATCGTTCACGAGAGAGGAAAGAAGGAATTGCGTTAATAATAACTTTTCCTATTAATAATATTATGAATTAGTTTTTACCTCAAATTCTGTCACAAATGATGAATCATCTGCAAGCAAGCTTGATTTTACAGAAAATAATTTCACATGGCTATGCTTGGTTAAACAATAATTTTAAAATTAATTATTTACGACAGTATTAAATATAATAATAAAGCGGACTCACGCGGAAAGTATTTGAATTCAACTTCTATCACTTTTCCTGATTGAAGGCCGATGTACTTCGAACATAAAATAAAATTCGAAAAATTTCGACTTGTGTCACTTTTCTTACGGGTGTGCGAGATCTCGAAAAAAGATCTCGATCGAACAATTTTATGAATTCAAATTACAAATGCATTCACAGATAGTACACGTACTTCTTATTCGAGATTGCTGCATTTTGCTAATTGATTCTATTATGTGACTCAAATATCTTTTATCTATTGTGTAATCGTTAGGAAATATAAGAGGTACATTTGTTAATATCATTGCAGGTTTACGCGGCCTACGAGACTGGTTTAGCAGCTGGCACCAGTTTGAAGCTGCACGTAACGCCGAGAACCACAGCGCGGGAAGTCGTGGATCTTGTCGTTAAACAGCTGAACATGGCGGTGGTCCTAAAAGGTCAGAAGGGGCCTACCTACACGGCCGACGAGCTACCGAATTTCTGTTTAGTTGCCGTGATCGGTGCGCGAGAGCGTTGCTTAAGAGACGATTTTAAGCCGCTTCAATTGCAAAACCCGTGGAAGAAGGGGAGGCTGTATGTTAGGCAAAAGCAGGATGTTCTCGCCGCCCTCGAGCACAGTAGTAAGCACACCGCATATTTATAGCACAAATAAAGCGGTGTCTGTAATATATAACGATCCATTTGCGTACTATTGTAAATTGAATTTTAGTACGTGCCGCACGCATAACGTCCCCTGATAACGATAACGCATATACGGAATGTTTCGCATAAAGCGATCTGGTCGGTACAACGGTACCGCTTGAAAAGAATTTTAGAAGTTTTAGTGAACAACAATTAATACGATCATATGCGACCTAACGCCATAAAATACTTCTCCTAATATTTTCTTCCAATTTACGAATCATCTTAGACGCATGTGATCGGGTTACTTTATGCGAAAAACGCACAAACTGTATATTTGTAAAATTAATTTATCCACGAAGAAGAATGTTTGGCCTCTTAAGTAAGTGATATTAGCTGCAATAAGTCTAACGAGTTTTTCAAAGATCGTTTACTAAAATGTACCAATTTTCCGCCATTTATTCTTCATAAGTGAAATAATGTTCTTTTTCGAGAAAAGATCCTGATTTCTCTTATCACGATTATATCTCATCTACTTTTTCTGTTTTCTAGATTTACGCTTTGCAACGTACAATTACTGGAGCGTTGCAGATACAAAATTATGAGTAATTAATAACATAACGATACTTGGAGCGGTTAGTCACGGCTCATGAAAAACACAGTATGAAAAAAAAATTTCGAGGGATCGTCACGAATGTGATAAGCGTGAAATACAAGTCTCTATTCTATTGTAAGCGATGTGTACATTCCGATTCTGAAATTCATAAATTCTCTGTAATATTCTTCAAATGTTAGTTAGTTTGTAAAGGAATGAATAATACTCGAGACATATTGTTATATTTTATGTACCGATCTCAGTGTTTTATTCGATATGCGTATCAAGAGTATGCGCAAGTGAGCTGTTTGAGAGATCTCATTGTTCCTTATACCGCGATTCGTTGTACCCAAGTACGATTCATTACGTTACGGAGGATCTTTTAGCGCAAGGAAGATGCAATAGAAAAATACTTGGGTACTGCGAATAAATAAGGATGATATAACTTTTTAAAGTCAGTGAAAGTTTTATATTTATACTATTAAAGTAACGAAAAGTGTAAAAGAAAGGAATATTTACGTTTTAATGTTTAATGTGTATGACAAAATTATTATATTATACTTTCTGCTTGACTAGATCCGTGTTACCAGGCTCTAAAAAAGACGCGTAATGCATAATTTTTTCGAAAAATATTCCAGATAGAATAATACGAAAGTTCCTAAAGTCTGCTGGCATCGTTTTAAAAAAATGGCTTAGAGCGAAAAATATATTTTTAGGGAAACATCCATCAATTGTGAAAATGCCGATCAATTTTGTTGACGAACATAATGCAAAAGAAAAATTATTGAAAATAGTGAAAAAGAGAGGAGATTAGTCCGAGATTTTAGTTGAAGAATATTTTGAGTCTAAAATAGCGAGTAACATTTCAACCAGTTTTATAGTTAATTATTAGTATATTATAGTTAATTATTATAGTAGTTATATAAGACAAAGAGGCTTATAGACTGTTATACGTATATAATAGAACAAAGAGTATTATTAATGCTACTATTGCTTTAGAGATAATAAACAAGTTATATTTTTCGTTTTGACTTATAATTTCTATTTTACTAAATACTGCGGCGTATATAAAATGTTATTTGTTTTTATAAACACATACATACACACAAAAGCGCGCGCGTGTGCGCACACGCACGCATTCTACGTCTGAATATACATTTATCTTGTTTAGTAAAATCATGTAGTAAAAGAAAACTTCCAGCAGACGTGAGTGGACAGATTCATCTTGAAGAGTTTATGAGGAAAGAAATATCTAATCAAAAGAACGAATAAACTTTCTCGTTATTATATACAGTAAATTTTAGTAAAATTTTAATAGTCCGCAGTTGCGCGATCTGCCATATTGTACACGTAACTGCGTGTATCCGGCTAAAGGAGAAGCGACAGTACAGCAGTACGGCAGTCGACGTCTTATAAAACCAATGATAAGTATCATAGTGTAGAGTGGTTTGCTAAATATACCCTAATCGCACAATATTACTGCACAATATTAGTACGCGACAAATTTCTCAAATGTCCGGAGATCGCACATTTCATATTTAATCTGACGAATGGCAAGATTAATTAGTGTAGCAGATATATATATACGTAGCTATTTTCGACCGAAAAAAAACAGAGAAATAAAATATTTAGAACAGTATAACTGTCTAGACAGTGCAGAATTCACGTAAATTAATCTGGATTGAGGAAGCGAAATGTGTCGAAAAAAAAGAGTCCACATACTTCTATTATTTCACCCGCCGCAAGCTTGCGTAATATCGATCTATCAAGCGAAGAACTCCATTGGAAATGTCTATCGTGAAATCCGTCCTTCACGTCGCAGATTCGATTTGGAAGTATCAATCGAACGTTTCTTCGAATATTATGCTTATTGAGCAGTAGTATCGTGCACCAAGGGGCCATTTGCGTTTTAACGAGGATACATGGTGCACATATTTTTTTATCTACAAAGTGGCAAAGGACCGACGAATTGTTAAAGGCGGAGCAGGTCTGGCTGGCTATATAGATAAGTCCGTATATCGCTGATGTACACAAGCAGAAAAAAAATGGAGCGAGAAATGTGGATCTCTGTGAGATATTTCGATAAACATCACCGCAATATCTCGCGGATAAACCGAACCCTGTGATCTAGAAAACAATCCACAATCTACGAAAAAATGATTTCCATACACATCAGCGTCGATTTAACCATGCAATCAGCCGTATCTGCTCTTCTCTGCTACTCTTGCCTAGATGCACACCTGTATTGTTGAGAGCAGATGAGCGCGCGCTCGTTTCTGCCCGACCGAGGGAACGATAGAAAATTTTATTAGCACTACGTGAGTGTCTATCGATGTTGAATGTAAAATAACCGTTAGCATATAAGTGTTACGATATACGAGGTGAAAGAGCACGGAGACGTGCCGGGCTTACGAACAGGCAAAGACGATTGAGATATTTGTAAATATAATGAAAAAAAGAAAACAAAAAAACAAGAGAATGACTGCACACACAGGGAAACTAGAGAGAGATTATTTTAGACAAGAGAGAGAGAGAGAGAATACGAGATCTTCTCTTTGTTTTTACGGTCCATTCATCGCAATTAGTAATGTAATTAGTTATGCCTATGCGACAGCAATGTGAGTTAATTAGTTGGAATTCAAACAAAGACATTCTCGTCCCCCGTCCCGCTGCTTCCCCTCTCCCCATCCTACCTTCCGCGTCCAGGAAACAAAGACCGTAACCCGATGTCACTTTGATGCACAATTTGTAAAGAGTGACATATGCGATAATTATGTACAGTAGCGAATTGATGTTTGTATAGAAAAGATGGCTTCATTTCTGTTACTGTGTTCTTCCCCCCCTTCCCCTTTTTTGTCGGGGATAATGTACTACGACGAAAGCGCACGAAATAAAGTATAACATTGTATTTGTTTCGATTGGAAACTTATTCGTCATGTCCTAAGCGATTCCGGTCTAACGATTATCGTTAACAAACGTAAGAAGCAATAGATGTAAAGATTTTTTTTTATTTTCGAATTTTACAGAGCGCATATCGCCATTAATTCAAAAAAAAAATTAGTGGTGGAAATATTCTGTACATATACAATTAACGATCTATAAAACTCTAAAATAAAAATTAGTAAATAACATGATGATTTTTTTTAATACACCATGCATAAAATTAGTGAACCGTAAAGCACCGCGGTGAAAGAGAGATTAATGAATTACGCAACTTGTTAAACACTTTCTTTTCACAAATTTGCGAAGAAGCACGCATTCCCGATTGTCTTATCTCTTATCTCTTCTGAAACAACCTGTATCCAATCCCACCCAGCATCATCACTTCCAACGAGTCAGACGCGCAAACGAGACGAGAACCCGGACCCTCGGCGACCGATAGTCCTGCTGACCCACTTCCGTCTTGTTTCTCGTCTTGCCGAGAATACTACCACCTACTCTTTATTTATCCCCCACCCTAGCCGCGATTCTATATCCCGCTCTTCCGACGAATGTGCCGCGACGAGCAGTTTCCGCCGAGCGCATTTTTACAAACAGCTTCGCTGCACCTCGCAAACGGTACAGCGTAAGATAAGTCCGATTACAGGATGATGCCATAGGACGGAATGCAAGCTGCAGGAGAGTACATGAAGCAGCGTTACCGAGCGAACAGGAGAAAGTTTCGGTAATCCAAACCGCTGGCTAGTTATTCATTATGCGGTTGCAATAATCTTCAATGGCGATAATAACTAATAATTTATTTCGCAGCCAGTTTCGTTAATTGCGTCGACAGTCTGGTCGTACTGAACCGACTGGTTTTTTTTTTTCGAGCTATTAACCAAAAATAGAAACAAGAAAAAAAATGTTGAAGAAAAAACTTTATGTCCGGCCGCAAAAAGTTGGTCAAATCAGGTCAGCTGTCCAATCTCTTAAACTTATAGTTTGAGCGAACAAAACTGACTTTACGGCATTGCGGAAGTGCTGGCACAAATTTAACTGTTGCAGATGTATAGTATACATATACAGTTAATACTCATTCTCGCGAAAACACGGATACTGCGCGAACGAGTGCGATTGGTTGACCCGCAGCCCGGATTCGCCCTCGACTGACCCCGTTGTTGACTGACCCACTGCAGCGAGATACTGATAGAGCGCAACGCTATACGGTCAGCGTGAAGTTAGTTCGCTTTGGCATTTAATTGCACTACGTCACGAACGAAAGACAGACGTTTTGCGCGAATGATAACGGTATTCCGATTGATGGATTATTTTTTTCAATTATATGGCCTAATCTCGCCTAGATTGCCCGGAGTGACGCTCGTCAAAGATTGATCGACATCCTGCTGAATATGGCGCGCTCTGATGCAAGGCTATGCACAAATTTGCAAAACAAATTCTTTAATGGCAATTTTGACGCAACGAGTCGGGCAAAGGCACGGTTGAATATTCAACGAGCAACGCGAGTATCAATCAAATTATTACGCCAACTTGTTTCGCGTGACGGCCGTAGGAGCAGTTCGCTGGCACAATAGCTTGTGTTTCACTATAGACAGCGCCTTGCTGCGAGACGCAAAAAGTAACATCTAGTTTATACATAGAAATGCACACATGAGTGTGTTTTACGCTTTGCATATATAAATTGTCATTTAACTTTTTCATGCGTGAAAAACTAAAAATAAAATAGGAAGGGTTTTATTTCTATCTGTGAAATAAATATTGGTGAAAAGGTTAAAAAATATATATATCATATTTTTTTCATCACACACGAGAAGGGGAAAGAGTTGAAATAAAGGCTCCCTATGAATATTCTCCGTGTCCAAAAATATCTTACTTTTCTTGTACCACTTGCGATTCGCGCACCCTCCGGTGTCACGCGGCGCGGCTACAAGGTAGCCCGCAAAGGCCCACAAACGCATCCGGCGAGAGTCCCCCTTTTCCCGCAGATATACCGCGTTGCGCCGGCTAGCCGGTTGGTTCGATTTTACACGGATCTCTCGGGCGCACACGTGCAGCCGCGTTGCGAAAGAATTATGCGGGGCACAAGGTCCATCCGGCCGGCCACTCGCCGCTCGAATTTTTACCAATCGAAGGTTACGTGTCCGCAGTGAAGTTTCTGCCGTGCACGTAGAATACGTACTCTCCGCTTTGTTTTCTTACACGCTCCTCTCGCCCTCCTTCGTTCTCCCCCTTTAACGCGGAGAGTTCACGATCGTGAGTCACAGCCGCGCGCAAAAGTCAAGACCGGAGCTGGGGATGGGTTTTCGGCGCACAAATTTTCTAAAACGGACTGACAAACGCGCTGATAAACATATTTTATCATAAAATGTGACATTGAAGGAATTTGTGATCACAATTGCTTTCCTACTTATCACGATAAGTTTATCTGTTTATGTTTTAAACATTCTGAGGAAGGAAATAAAAGTAGATTAATTGACATTTATCATTATTTGGTATCTCTACTTTGATATTGTAAAGATATGGAACATTGCTCTTAATACTCATAGTTTTAAAGATAACCGCGAGTTCTGCCGAATCGGCCGATTAGAATGTTCTTGTCTCATCGTCCTCATTCCTTTCTGTAAACGAGAAGGTGAACGATGTCGATAACGACAAAGACGATGATTTCAGTGACGATGAGGACGCCGACGACAAACGGCCGGCACGACGCGGAGGAAGAAGAAGAAAAGGGAGACGAGTGTTCGGTGAAGCCTACCGACCGGCTATTTGGAACACGGCCGATCAGTTCCTTCGGCGCCTTCGCACCGTGGACGCGGACACGCTAACGTCCTTTGTCGCCGATTTCAAACCCGTACCGAATCGGGCGAAAGAGACGCTGAAGAAAACCGCGAAAAATCGCGCGACGCACCGTTTTTGCGAATCGATACAAACGGAGAGAACCGACGTGCTCGTCGAGCTTTTGTGAACCTCTTGCGAAGAAACGGAATCGGCCCCGAGGGATGTTTCGTGAGATAGTTCGGGATAGTTCATGATAAAGCTTGGAATCGATCGATTTATCTCATTGAAAGAATTCACCGGCACCAGTAAGTTTTTTTATCAATTGATGGCGCGCTGAGAAAGAAAAAATGTAATTGTTGTTTTAACTTATTCAATATTTGACTGATTAAATGCGAATAAAGTTATAAGAAATTATACATAATAAAATTTTAAATAATCGCACTGTGATAATTACTCTTTTCTTTCTTTTTTTTTGTTCTTAAGTCACAATTCTCAAAAATCTTTGATAATATAGAAATAGTTCAATAAATAATTTTTTTACGATTTATAATGGCTAATTAAAATTCTAAAATAACACAAAGGCTTCTCTAGACGTACCGTAATATATGTGCAAAATATATAACATAGTTAATCTTAATGGCATTATTTAACAATTAGTTGTTTTTGTATTTGATTTTTTTTTCATAAAATTCGTTTTAACAAACCGGGCAAGAAAGTCATGTTTCGCCTTTTTCCGGTAAGGTCACCGGAGTAGAAAAGCTCGCCATATATTGCCATTAGTATAATTAACCCAGATTTTCCCGGATTTATGGTGAATGGCACGCAGGTCAGAACCGTGCGTTGTACACTATATAACAGATTGCCGATATGCCTGCGAAGAAATGATAAAAATCGCCTGCTCAATTGCACGATGTTACCCAAGAATAATTAATACCTGTCGCGAGTAATTAATACATCATCATCACAAATTTAGGTCAATTATTCCAAAATTATCCAAAAAGTTAAATTATGAAGTAACCGTAGAGCCAATCCGTCGAATATGCTTTACGACACTATAATGAGCTCTAATTAGGATCATTACGTCAATTATAACGTCACGCCATTATCGATTGAATCGTCGAAGATAAAGCGGAGAAGGCGCGTTAATTAACGCGAAATTTTTAACAAAATACGATAAAGAAAAAGATTGTTTGGTGAATGTAATTAAAAAATTTGTATAAATTGTGACCTAATTAATGTGACGTGAAGTCATAGCTTTTATCTGGGAGAGAATCGTGGATATACATGACACGGCGCTTCATATATTAACCGACACTGACGGTTATGTCCGGCATCGAGTGATGTTGCGACATCATACGATGCTTATAGCCGTCAAAGATGTTTTATGCTTTTCTTCGGCGCTGCTATTCAAGCCGTCCTGAACTCTGTATTTGTCAGTATAATGTGTGCATACTGCTACTTTCCCCGATGTAAAGATATACTTTATATGACGCTGGCGTAATAAATTTCACGAATAACTGTTAATCTATGTTATAGCGCATTATTAATGTACGGAACTTTATAAAAATTCTTAACAAATTCTCTGCAACGTTCTATTATGATTCAGATATTAATTAAGATGTTGGAAAAAGTATTGTGAAAAATATGTTAAAATAGAAAAATATTGTAAGAAGTGTTAGAAAATATGAATTAAAAAGAACACAATTTAATTCTAGATCACAGCCATTCTTTGAAAAAAATTTTGAAACTGTTTTCTTAATTTTTGTAAATTTAAAAATTGTGCCCCTCATTAAGTTCGCAATTATCGTGAGATTATTATTCATTCAGGAAAGGTTTTCGACAATAGCACGAGACAATATCAGCAACAATACAATGTCGGAAGGTTGCACGAGTTGCAGAGGCGCGAATTACGCGAGCGGCACTTTGCAGTTAGGCACGACTCCCGGTGGCAACACCGGAAGCTCGTCGTCTACTCCTGCAACGGCATGTGTAACTACAAGAAGAGTCCAGGTTCGCGCAAAAGTGCTATACGGCACGGGCAAAGCGATAGCGAGCTTGCAAGCGCAGGAGAAAGCGGCCAGACACTGACAAGGTAATTAATAACCGTAATTAATCCCTCATTAATCTGCCGGATTTCATCAAGCATATTTTCTCTCCTCTAAAAAAGTTTTGTACCAAGTTTTTTATATTTTTGTACCCGTTTAATCTTGCCGAATATTTGAATGTAGTATTATGCTACTTTAATAATAAATATTAATATAAAATATTAATATATAAATATTAATTAATTTATCATTTAAAATAACA